ATTGTGTATATGTACCACATCTTCTTTATCCATTCATCTACTGATGGACACTTAGGTTGCTTCCATATCTTGGCTATTGTAAATAGTGCTGCGATAAACATAGGGGTGCATATGTCTTTTTGAATCTGGGATCGTTTTCTTCCAGTAAATTCCTAGGAGTGCAACTGCTGGGTCAAATTGTATTTCTATTTCTAGTTTGTGGAGGAATCTCCATATTGCTTTCCACAATGGTTGAACTAATTATCTTTAGATATTTCTTATGACCAAATAGTTTGTGCTATTAACAGAATGGTATGTGTGGATTAGGACTTGGCAATATTTCCTGTTTGTCACATGGATCATAGAAGGAAAGGCAGGGTCAGAAATAAACATCACTGAAAAGGTTAGATGATCTTCTTTCTTCAAAATGTCAAGTGGTTTGTGGAAACATCCTAGGAGTCTGAGGAGATGGGCGGGGAGGCCAGGAACAGCCAGTGGATATGACAAGAATAAAACATAGCTGTCATAATTTAGAATTTTCGTTCCTAATACAGCCCAGATGTTCCCAACTCCTCAGTCTGCAGAGGTCAGCCCCCATTTAATACCCAAAGAGAAACATATCCTCTGACCCCAGTCCTATGCAGGCCACTCAGTCTTTGACCAGTTTTCCCTTCCTGAGTATTGCTGAGATCATCTTTGAGCAATACTTCACACAGTCCTAGCTGCTGCTTGTCACCTCTTCGGCCACCTTCCCTGTGCTCTTCCTCGGCCAGCTTCTCCTGGCTGAATCAGCCTATTGTGAATGCGGCCGCAGGCCCTTCCATTAATCTTGTGAATCACAGCGAAGAACACTTTCAAAAAACTTGGTTAAAGGTTTGAGGATAATAGAAGGGAATTACAGCAAATACAAACAACTAAAAAGGGATATTGCATGTCCCTGCTCCCGATTCCTAAGCCAGAACTGCCCACAGAGCCCGCAAGCTCTCCTTCTTCTCAACCCCGCCCACCACCAACTGCTGCCCCCGAAGAGAGTCTCAAACATTTTGGCCTTCTTGGAGTCCAGATCTTCTCTTAGACCCTGAGAGAGAAAATCAATTTCTGTTTAAAACCCGTCCTGTTTACCTCCCCATTAACAGCATAATAATCCTCAAACATGTTCTTTATTCACAAGAGAGACCACCTTCAGGCTTACGATGTGAAGCATCTCAGCTCCCCATTGCCTCCAAGCCAGAATTAAAAATCAGTTCTACTTTTACATAACCATAAGTGCATTACACTGCTTTTCCTGCAACCATCCACCCTAAGGCAGATCTGAAAAACACTGGCAGGTTTTACATGGCACCAGTCCCTGTTGCTCACTATCACAGTCTTGTAACTGTGGGCCTGGACTGCAGAAGAGCACCCTGTTTGGTGTTTATCAGTATGTGCTACACATGCCACACAGCAGTTACCAGAGACTAAGACAGCCTGCGTTTCCTGTAAAGGGAAGTGTGTTCTCACGAGAATACGGAGTCTACAGAAGCCAGCCAATGGGGTTCGGTATTTCCATCCCAACTGTAGGCATGGTCAAGATCAGGAAGAACTGTGGAAGAAACTTTGTGGTTGTGCATTCGGAAGCTATTGCTACCCCAAAGGCATATGAGTGAAAACAGAAAAAGTAGGAGAAAGCCCAGAACTAAAAAAGAAGTTTTATGATACGGGCTCTGATTTCCTTAGGAATGCATACAGAATGGCAGTACTAGACGGTGCTTGCCCAGCACTTCGGCTCGCCTCAGAGGCTGGGTGGAAGGTTCAAGCATCAGGGCTGTAGTCTCTAAAGTCTTCCCAAAGCTCTGTTACTTTATAAAGTTTAAACTTCCTTGAAGCAAAACACAAACTGTATGAAATACTGAATTTTCCCAAAAGCACCTAAAATATTTTTTTTTAATCTACAGAAGTCAGGTAAAAGGACACAGCTGCAGAGAGCTGGTGCCAAAAGAGCACTTTGATTTTCTGGTGTGACCTGCAGTGCCTGGGAGGGTGTGGAAGTAGAACCCTGGACCAGAAGAGACAGTCCGAGGCTAAGGCCCTGGACAGTGATCCCTGCACGTGTCCTGGAAGGCATCTGGAGAGCCTAACACCCACAGATCTTTAATTGTGCCCCAGATGAATTGTAGTAGATCTCAGATTCTTCTGCATGGAGCATGTGTAAAATAGCACTGCTGTCATGTTAAAAGGTCTCTTTTTGCTAAGAGATGAGGAGGGGAAGGAATGAAGGAATAAATATGAACAGGAGAACTCCTGCTACAATGACATATTTTGCTGACATTGGAGGGAGAGATCGAAAGCCAGTAACCTGTGATAAGTAGTTAGGGGAACGGAGGCACGGCCCAGGATGTTCCCAAGATTCCACCAAGGTGTATTCTTCCTTTTCTGAAAAGTGAAGGGCTCATCTGGCATTCCTTTCATAGGGGGTGAAATAAGTACATGAAGAGAAAAAGTAGTCTCTTCACCCAAAGATTTGTTCTACATTATGCCCAAATGTTCAGATTTCAGGAGATGTTTACACAGGAGACTGACAGAAAAGCTGAGCATTGATCTCATGTTAAACAAACCATTAAATGCTCCAGTCTCTGGTTTCTCATCTCCAAAGTGCATATACTATCTCGTTAACCTATTTCATAAGGTTCTTTTTAAAATAAAATTATGCAATAGATACACAGATATTTTAAAAACTGATAGTACTCTCTGCATGTCAGGGGGTACTAACTAACCATTATGATTCTATTATCTAAATGTTGGGAGCATTTATGGTTTTGGCCACCATGTCAGGAGAATTAGAATAAAAGAAAGTCCCGTTGAAAGGCTCTCACCCCAGGTCTGCACCTTACCTTTGGGGCTTTAATTTGTACGTGGTGTTCTGCCCAGAGTTTCAGGTCCCGGGGGTGAATAGACAAGTCCACAGCCAGCAGTGCAAAGGCAGAGAGGAATTTTATTGCTAGCTTGAGCTAGGGTCCCAGTCGCATCCGGTGCAGCGGAGCCTTGAACAGGACCCCAACCCTTGTTTTCAGCATCTTTATATAGGGTCGGGTTACATAAGGCGTTTAGCAGCACTCGCGCAGGTGGTTCTTGCTCGTTTCTGGGTGACCTACTTTACTTAGGGGTGGCAGTACTTGATTGGCTGGGGTGAAGGGGCTTTCTTGACCTGGGTTCTATCTTAGCTTCTGCGGTTTTCCTGTTTGCTCGCTTTGCTCGGGTAGAATTTTCCAGCCTGGGGTCGTGCATGCTCTGACAGCTTAGAGATTCTCTCGGCCTCGTCTCTGTGTCTCAGAGATTCTCTCGGCCTCATCTCTACATCTCAGAGATTCTCTCAGCCTCGTCTCTACAGTAGTAATTTGATACTGTTGAATTTCCTTCTCCAGTGTTCATTTATAGCAGATGAAGTTGGTTAGTCCCAGAACTAATTATTATTCCTTTGGATAATTTGGGTTTGGATGCCGGAGTTACTCCCTCCCAGTAGCCAGCACACAGAGTCCAAAGGCTTCAAGTATTTCTGCAGTAGTGGTTTTATTCCTCCATTGGCCCAGTACCAACTGAGCCTCCGTATGTCACTATGACAGTTCCTGGGTTTGTTCATGTTTCTCTAGCAAGTGCTTAAAGAAAATGTATCCCAGGCCCCCATGGAGAGATATTGCTTATTTGCCACTCTTGCCCAAAGGGTTCATTTTATTCCTAAATACCTTGCCAAAAATAAATACCTGAAGACTGCTCCATTTAGCAGAACTAAGGCAGATACAGTGAAATGTCTCTCAGATAAAGAGTAACATTGAAAAGAATTGATAGTAAAGAAAAGTGCAACTGTGGGCTACATAAAAACTTTTAAAGTGGTTTATGGTATGACTGATGAATCCCCACTAGGGGAAGACTGTCCTACTGGTTTTGTTAATGGAGCTGGTCTACCGCATTCATGGTGATGTAGCTTTTTTTTTAACATGTTTAAAAAACACGTAACTTTTTTTTCAAGTGTACAGTTCAAGGTAGTGTTAAGTATATTCACAATATTGTGAAACGGATCTCCAGAACCTTCTCATCTTGCTAAACTGGAGCTCTTTACCCATTGAGCAACACACACCAGTATAACTTTTAAGTGCTCAGTGTACTCAAGGAAATGGAGGAGCTCTTCTCACACAGTCGGCCACCCTCCCGGAGACACTGGCCCGGAGTGCTCTCTGAACTCATCACTGTCTCAAATGCCCAGGCACAGCTCTCCTGGCCCCCCTGCCTGGCATGTCCACAGAGGATAGACACGTGGTGGGCACTGGGGTTCCCTGAGGAGTCCCAACACTGTAAGCCCAAGGGCTGGGTCCAAAAGTTCTAAGAATAATTGACAGAAAAGACTCCAGAAATGCTGCTCCACTTCAGTATGCCTTGTTGAAGCATCAGATGGACATTACAGAGCATGTGTAAGTCAGAAAGGCCCGGATGATACTACACGGATGTGGAACAGAGAACATGGGCTTCCCTGAGGGATACTGCATCCCCAGGGTACCTGGCTGCCTGTCACCACAGTAGTTCACTTCCTATGCCACTGTGTCATTTCTGTCTTCTGCTGTCATTTTTTGATGAAATCTAAATCTAGACCCTGTTGAATGAATTAGAACTTGAATTGTCTTCTAATTGTAAGAACATGTTCCTTTATGGCAATTTTGAAATAGCATATATAAGCTAAGAAACCAAAGTATTTTGGCATACTCCTATCACTTGTTGAACTAACTGGAGTATCTGAGATGATTTCATAAATAGCTATTGATTAAAACTGGAGTGTCAAACTACATACAGAATGATATGATAGTAAATTTGTGTGGTTTTAAGCCACTAAGTTTGTAGTAACTTGTTACTACAGCCATAGAAAATGAATGCAGAATGAGTGAGCACAGTACTTGAATATGTATAATAAAACAAGGATGAACAATTGTAGTTTGCTTTATTTTATTAAAGTAAGTTAATAAACCACAGATGAAGCAAATATTTGAGATTTGAAAGTGATTAAGGAGTCTAAATGCAGTGATAAATACGTCTTAGGAACAAATTCTTTTTCTGTCATCAAAGAGAAAAAGTGGTGTTGAGAATGAAATTTAGGCTACTTCACTAGTTCAAGTTGCAAGAGCAGTTTTAGAGGAAAGGTGCTGTTATTTACTTCGCTTTTGCTCAGCATGCTGAGGCAGATACCTGCCATCCCTTTAGTGTATTGTAAGGTCACTGTTAGGTTTCACAGGTTTTGGCATTCTCCAAAAGGAATTTATCTCCTGTAACACAGCCTTTCCAAATTGCTGGGCATGTCCTGGACCAAATTCTCACATATTGAATTACCCAACTGGTTCCATTCCACTTCAGTGAGGATCAATCCTGGTCCTACTGTTTTTTTAAGTAGTTGAGAGATGTAGCTGAAAACACTATCTTTATAAGAAGTTTCACACAATTTCTACTGCAACCCCAGGCATTTCCAAGACAGTAAAATAAATATTTTCACATATAATGATTAGCCCATATTTATTTGCATACTTATTTATTTATTTCAAAAAGGGGCTATTGAAAAATATAGGTTTTGATGAGTACAGAGGGTTTCTGTATTTTTTTTTACCAGCTTTTGCTGCTCTTCTTGATAAGTAACTTCCCTCTTATTCCCTCTTCATAAATAACTGCAGCTTCTTCATCAACAAGGCAGTGTTTTCCTGAATTTGTGTTGCAGTTTCACCTAACTTGTGATTTTTTTCTCCTGCATCTTTCAAAATAATATTCCATCTTATAGAATCAGTCCACCTAAGACTAAGTGAATATCAAACAGATACCCATGCTGGTAAGTGGTAACTATATTCTGAGGAAGGAGGATTGTGGTTTCCACCTGGGTTGGCTTCTCAGTCTCCTCCTTACTGAATGTACCTCGATCAGTCTGTATTTCTGTCCTGCTTACTGTAATGTAGATCTACAGCTTTACATCTTTGAAGCATGGAGGAATAAATATACATTTCAATTTTTACACCCAAACAGTTGCCCCTGATGACCCCAGCAGAAAAATAGATGGCGATACCATTATTTTTTCCAATGTTCAAGAAAGATCAAGTGCGGTGTTTCAGTGCAACGCCTCTAACGAATATGGATATTTACTGGCAAATGCATTTGTAAATGTGTTGGGTAAGCTCTTCCTTTATTAGAAACATGGCAAATTAAATTAATGGCTGCTGTTGTTCTCCATTCAGCAAAAATTATTCAGCATCTACGGTGTGCTGTGCCTGGGCACTGTGAGGGATGAATAAAGATGAGTAAGATCCAGACCTTGCCCTAAGGAGAATTACAGTCTGGCCTTGATGTTCTTTCAGCACACGGTTGTTTATGATGGCATGTAGAAATAATCAGATTGTCGGGCTGCTCCATTCACAGGTGGTTAGACTACCTGCCAAACCCCTCAAAAGGAAAAGAGCAGTGGACTGCTATGACTAACTGAATGTGACTGCTCTTGCAGCCTGAGAAACTAACAACTTGAATAACAAGTTCATGACTCTGGTTCTTTTTTAAATAAATCATTAATCATACTGTTTGACCTTTTTCCAAGTACAGATGTACATTTATTGATTGATTCATGATAACATGTTTAGAAAACTATTACATATACCATCATCTTCTGAAATGGTTGGTTCATGTGAACATTATGTTTGTCATCATGGACAAAACTACCAGCATAATCAGAGTTGTTCAAAACTTGCATGAGAATCATTTTCCTGGCACCAGGGAATTATATTTCATGTCTTTAAGTGTAGTAGGCTCCCTTCCAAACAAAATTACAGTCAGGAAGCTAACCAATATTTGGGATTTTTCCTTCATGCTTGAAATGAAAGTAAATAAACCACATGAATTGCTGAGTACTTAAGATATGGGTGGATGTTTAGGAAGCAGTTCTGGTTTCTGGTCCCGTGTTCCGTCATCAGTGCTCGCTTTTCTCTGCCGGCTGGTGTGTTCCCCACCACTTCCCCCCCACACACACCCATGATGACCCTGGCTTGCGATGGGCCAGTCACTCAACAAAAATACACTCGACCATTATTTTGATGACAGATTCCGCACTTGTTTCTGGTGAGAAAACAAGAGAAAGTCCCATCCCCTGCCCGCAAAGGACTCACAGTGTAGTAGGAAATATAGATAAATAAGTCAATTACTAAAATACTGTGACTGTGTAAGATATGGGGCATTTGGCAGAGGAAGAAAACTAGGATTTTTCCACCTTGAGTGACTGGTACCATCATACTTGAGAGAGAACATGAGGGGAAAGACATGTTGGTTGTGCTTTAGCGGAAACTCTAACGGCCTTAGAACAAAGTGCAATAGAATATATGGGGGGCCTCAAGTTTCTTTTGTTTTAATATTTACTTTACCCTTTTAAAACATTTTCAGCTGAGCCACCACGAATCCTTACGTCTGCAAACACCCTCTATCAGATCATTGCCAACAGGCCCGCTTTACTGGACTGTGCCTTCTTCGGGTCACCTCTACCTACTGTTGAGTGGTAAATAATGTTCCTATTTGGCTTCCTCCATATGTTGGCTTTTAGTCAGAGAGCAGACAGGGCGAAGGCTGTGCAGAATCCATCATACCATTAATTATTAAGTTCATTCACAAATATTTAACTACTTGCACCATGTGACTTTTACACGCATAATCTATTTAACAGCATACTTTGTCAATGACAGAGGTATTTGTAAATTTTTTTTTAAAAATTGAAGGTGGCTATATTTTTCAATGCCATGGACATCACCTGGGACTTCAGTAATGGTGGCCAAAGGGTGGGTGAGGGGACATTCCTTCATAAAATATCATTTGGGGTGGGGTCAGAGGTTCTATAAGCTTAAACCAAAATTTATTACCCGAGTTCATCTTAAGTGCCTCTCCTGCGGAGCGTGCTGACTTAGGTCCAGCCAAGCTCTCCTGTGTCCTCTCACTGCCAGCTCCCGGCCGGCCCTTCTCACACACTACTGCTGATACCCATCCTGGTCATCCTCTGAGCTTACTTACTTTAGCAGGAGCTGGGAGAGGCAACAGCTCAGAAAGAAAAGTGGACATTCAGTTATTGATCATCTATCAGGTGCCATACACTGTGCTAGGCTCAACCTCCTGATGTGAGGTGAAGCCAGAGTAGGATTACAGGACAGTCTCCCCAGGTCTCCACCTTAAGCACAGAGAAGAGAAACACAGGCACTCAGGCAGGTGTTTTCCAGTGCAGGTGACGGGTTAGTGCTCAGCCAGGCCGCCTGACCCCTTTCCTTCCATCCTCCTTCTGATTGATGCTAATTGGGAAGCTGAATGTACCCATAGTTTACATACATGCTGTGTTTTTTTCTTCCCTGAATATTTTCCTATTCATACTTTCAGAAGTACAACCCTTGTAACCTTGAAATGAAAACTTCCTTAGAATCGTAGCCTGCAGATGGACTTACAAATGCATCACAGGAGAGGGAAACTGTTAGAAAGCGCAGTGTTCATTTTGCCTGTTTAATCAATCAGAGATAAAACAAGTAATAATGTGTTTATAAATTAGGAGTCTCTCATAATGAAAATGACAATTTAAGCATTTTGTAATGTCAGCCTTGTTCTTCAAGTACCATTTATCACTGAATTTTCCAGTTTTACATCCTGTCTTTTCAGTGATCCCACCGACTTGCCAGCATGCAATAAACTCATGCAGATTGCAGACATCTCTGAACTTGATGCCATAATGCAGATCACAGTGTGCTGACCATGACCGTGGCATTTTATGACTTACTTCAATTATGTTTTTTTTCTCATTGTGATCATTTCCCTGGTGAAGGTTTAAAGGAGCTAAAGGCAGTGCTCTTCGTGAAGATAACTATGTTCTACATGAAAATGGAACTTTGGAAATTCCTGTGGCCCAAAAGGACAGTGTAGGAACTTATGTATGTGTTGCAAGGAATAAGTTAGGAACAGCAAAGAATGAAGTTCACTTAGAAATCAAAGGTAAGGCAGAAGTGATGAAACTTTTTTTTTCAAGTAGTATGTGACTTGGAACAAATTCTCCGATTTGGGCAATGGATAACTTTAACTTTATCCTTTAAATTTCAGATCCGACAAGGATTATTAAACAACCAGAATATGCAGTGGTGCAAAGAGGGAGCACAGTGTCCTTTGAATGCAAAGTAAAACACGATCACACCTTAATCCCCACTGTCCTGTGGCTGAAGGACAACGGTGAGCTGCCCAGTGATGGAAGGTATTTGAAGATGACTTACTCCCTTTCTCTTCCTTCTCTCTTTCAGCTGCTATTGAACTTAAAGATTTATTGTATAGTGACTTAACAGTGATGTTTTCAAAGCTTCTGAAGACCGCTGTCTCCAAAATAGTTATGCATTTCTCCCTGCTGTAAAATGATCAGACTTAAAAAGGTATCAAGTTATTGAAATAAGACCCTGAGAATGTTTGTCTCTTTATGTGTTGGTCTCCTATGTAACTCAGGATGAGAAAAACCTTTCTGCCTTGGCCAACCTCCATTGTTTTCTACCTTGTACAGTGAAGTCTCAACAGATGTTTTCATTACCAGTCTACAAATAAGCAGAAATATGATCTGTTTAATCACCAGAGTGTTCCTGAATCCTTGTCAGTATTTTAAAGGACACTAGTTTTTCTTTGGATAGGGAATTTTCACTTGATATCATCTAAAGCCAGTAGAAGGAGAAAGTGGAAAAAAAAAAAAAACGGGTAAAGCACTTAAAAGGGAACCAGAGCATGTTGCATTCCCTTAGGCTGGAATGGAAGAAAGGTCATACCCAAATTCTGGGTGAGGGCCTCAGTTTGAGAATAAGTACAGGGGAGTTGAACGCATGAATTCTGGCTGTCACAGGGTAGCTACAAGCATCGCCCCCTATTGGAAGGAATGCTGGATGCTGGTGGGCATGATTTCTGTATTTCCCTTCCAACAGCTCCTGAATGGTCCCCCTGTTGCTCGTTAAGCACCCTAAAAGGACTATGTGGCCTTTTTTATATGACCAGAGTTTCCATATAGTTCTATGCTTCAATTTGTCAGTTTCATTTATAAAATCTGAGTTGACAAAGATGAGAATGAAATATGAAGAAATGGTACTGGGTTTAAGTCAACTAAATATTTAACTTGGAATTCCCTGCAGACAGTTAACGATTTATGCAGCCTTGTTAAAACCGCACGTTTCCTATTGACAGATTTTCGACCTACTGAGTAATTTTTCATGCCTGCTAGTAGTAGCCTTTAGAAAACTCCTCATGGTGATGGCTAATCTGAATCTTCCTGTTTCTGGTAGTAAAGCTAATTACTACTTCTTGCATTTACCTCCTCCTATGAGAGTTTATTAACATAGCAAAAATGACACAAAATTTCTGCAGCAAATAATAAATTATTTTAAAATATATACTTTGTTAGTAATTGAGCTGGATGAGTAGTGTTCAAATGCTTTTTAGCAGTGGACACCAGAGGAAACCCTTCAGTGAGGGTAACTGGGGCTGACCCCGCCTCACTTCTGGAAGCCCCTGAACTTTAAAGAGACTCCTTAAACTCCAGAAGCATGGCTCAAAGCCAGGCCAGATGCCTTAGCATCTCTTCTAACCCAAGATTCTAATTCATTCTAATCATTTTCCAACTTCAGTCATTATCAAAGTGATACATACTGTATAGGATTTCAGGCCTGATGTGTAACAGATCTTTATCATCTTTCCCTTTTATCAAGTTCACATTTTCTTTCTTGACAGTTAGGCAGTCATTGAATGTGGTCAGATGTCCCTTTCGGCTGCTCAGATGTGTTCCAATTACAGGGCCACTGTTGACAAAGACCATTTGGTGGTAGCTGATGTAAGTGACGATGACGGTGGGATCTACACATGTGTGGCCAACACAACCCTGGACAGTGTTTCAGCCAGTGCTGTGCTTCGCGTTGTCGGTAAGAACTGGACATGTACATGCAACTGGCTGCCCTGTTTTAGGCAGGAAAAACAAGTGTCAGGGGTAAATGTTTGCTTGTGATAGTCTTAAAGTTTTATCGGTGAGTTAAATACCCATGCTTTTTTTCTTTGAAAGATGCCTTTGAGTTGAAATTTCAATATAAACATTCTCTGTATCAGCACTGGAATTAAATGGTGGTTATGCATATTTGTGATATTTTTATAAGAAAATTGGGGAGAACATCTCTTTTATTTAAAATTGAAGATTTCCCCCCTAAATTGTTACTGCATGTTTATTGACTGATGCCATATCTCACAGTTATAGGCTTTAGTTTTATAATCTTAATCATGTTCAGTCTTTGTCTTCTTGTGCTATCTTAAAGCTTATATCTTTCCATTACTAATTCTGATTAAAACCCTTTATATTAATGTCCTTCCTAGCTCCTACTCCAACTCCAGCTCCCATTTACGGTAAACTAATATGAGTCTTCTTTCTCTGTTTTCTGTTAAACAATTTCACATTTGCAGAAAAAATTCCTTTTTCTTTAGCACATCATTGTGTTTCCTTAAGGAAAAGAGCTCTGTCAAATGTTCTGTTGTGTTACCCATTTGCTGCCATAAATCATCTCCATTATAACTCTGTAACTTTTAACTGAATATATTGCCGCTTGTTTCTAAATATTTCATGTTATTGTAAAGGCATTTTGCTTAATAAATGTCCCTCTTTGACATAATTTCCTTCTAAAGTAGCATAGTACTTTTTCAAAAGCTACCATCCACATTTTACAGAATGAAAAAGCTATTACAAAAATCACTCCACAAATTAGGTTTTTATTTCAGTCTATTGAAAGTTGTTTTGGAAAAATAGATGTTGTTTGGGATTCCTTTTCCCAGAAACTTACATAGGAAAACAATAGATGTTTAGAACATTTGATCTTTAGATCAGAGAAAACAAACTCACTGTGCAAAAGATAAATCACTAAAAAAAGACCAAAAAGAGGGCCCTTCCAGGTTGTGTGATTTTTCTCTGCATCTGGAAAATTAATCAGAAATTATTTCCAGAGATATTTTTGATTAAAGAACCCTCATCTTTATTCAGCATATAAATACTCCATTGGTGTAATTTTGTGGCATAAACTAGGTGGATTTTACATCGTGTCATTAGTTATGCTTAAGAAGACCTACCCTTTATAGACATCTATTGTTTGAGAGGAAAGAATAAAAGAACCAAAAGGAAAAAAAGTCCCAATATTTGCATTTATTGTATATGGCTCTGGTTCCCCAAGAGCCACAGTCAGTCCCAGTAGCAAGGCCAGGAAAAGCCCAGGGAATGTTAACTCTGGATCTCAGACACACCATGAGAAGAGGCAGAGATGCTTCTAGGACACATTCGTCCCCACAGGTGTCTGTACCCTGGTGACTTGTGATAGTAAATGCACCATATCCCCATGTACCTGACTGTTGTACTGAGAATCTGCAGAAAGTATGCATGCTGAGGACTACTTATATAGCATCAATTTTAGAATTCCCTTAAGAATATAAGTATTCTTCAGGAGCCCCCAAATCTGTAATTCTGCATGTTTCAGAAATAACATATGAGTCTTCCTTAAACAGTACATCTATCTGCCTGTATTTGTTTAATCAGCATTTGCTACTGTCTGTTTCCCATTTATTAGAAATGAAGCTTCGATAATATTTTTTCTGTCTGTGCTCCTTCGTGTTTAGAGAAGACGCCCACTGAGAGTGCTGGTGAACCGTGCACGCCCACATCACTGTTTGCTTACAAGCTGCTCAGTTCACTTGAAAGAGAATCAAGCAGCACTATCGATGGGCCGTCTTGGGTGTGCCTGTGCTTTCCCAGCAAGCTCGGTCATTCCCATTTCATTTCAGTTGCATGCTCACTGGCCATTAAGTGTGCTGTGTCTGTAAGATGTCCCCTCTATGAATACCATAGCCGAAGGAGAACTCACAAGGATGGGTGATTAACTGTGTCATGTGTGTTTGGTCTACAGATGTCCCAAATCCTCCCTTTGATTTAGAATTGACAGATCAACTCGACAAAAGTGTGCAGCTCTCGTGGACCCCAGGCGATGATAACAACAGCCCTATTACAAGTATGTGATGCAAGTTGCTTTGTGACTGATAAACTTGATGCCCGTTTAGGAAGGACTTCATCATATGCAGCTGAAATTCTTCACAGAGATATTTGCTCGCATTCTCTGCTTCATTACTAATAGAACAAAAACATTTATTCATGGCTGTCTTCCTTTCAGAGCTAGAGTTATTCCCGGTTACAGCTTCTGGTATGGGATGCTAATTAATTGCTGAAGATGTTAATTATGCAAGTACACTATCATTTGGCATTTAAGATCCATAAGAATCACCCTAAGTTTCTACCACAGCAGGAAGATATATTGTTAAGTTACTCATTTTACCCATTAATTTGGGAGAAAAAGATAGGGGTACCAGGTGCAGGAATGCCCAGTCTGTGTATTAGGAAAGAGACCTGGTGAGTAAAACAGCTTTTCAAGCCCACAATTGGCAAGAGAGCTGGGTGTAGACATCAGGTCTGCTAGCTTCCAGTCTCTTTCCCCTCATCAGCCCCTGCTACAAAGTGGCACCTTCAACAAAGTCCGCTCCTCACCTTGATGACAAAAGCCTAGGGAACAGAATCAGGTGAGGGACCATGTGCTATAAGGATGCTGGAAGGGCTTAATACAGTAAGACCATAGATAACCCAGAAAGAAGCATTAAGCCTGCAAAGGCCCTTCTGAGAGCAGATGCAGGCCTGTGATATATTATTACCTTCAGGCAGACACTGCAGAAAGACTGAGTTGCTTTCTGATGAATACCTAAGACTATTCTGAAATGATGTGTGTGTTGACTTCTTGCACCTGCTGGTAAAGCAGAATATTTCCAATGAAATTCAACCAAAGCCTCATCTTTTCATGTGTTATTTAGTGGTGTTCCTTTCCCAACTGATTTTTTCAGTGTTTGATGAGAACACTCATTCATTTATACTGAGTCTCCAGTGCATCACTGCATGAGCCAGATTTAGCTGCTTAGGATGCCTGGAGACTTGTTTCACCTGTTTAAATGATACCATTACATTTCAAGACATTTCTGCTCTTTCATTCATTCACTCATTCATGCAACAAACACTGAGTACCACCCATTGCTCTGAAATGAAGCACCAAAAATCTCTGTCCATATGGAGCTTGTATTTTAATGGACACAAATAAGATAAAATTAATACATATCCTGTTATTGTGTATAATATAATTACATAAGTGTACATATGTATATGTGTACACACACACACACACACACACACACACACACACACACACACACACACTCCTCAGATCTCCCTTCAAGAAAGAACCTGACACAAGGAGTGGTAACAGCAGCTCCTTCCCTAAGGATCTGCCGCAGTGTTCGTGGGAGCCCACTGTCTTCCTAAGCTACTCTAGTAACTGGGCATGGGGAGGGGCCGAGAGCTCAGCCATTCCAGTGCAGAACTTTACTGGGGCTGACCTGACTGAGACTGTCTGGGCTGCTGCCAAGGTTTTCCCCACACACTCCTCCTTCCTCCTGCCGTTCATCTGTCAGATATGAGGCCTGCTTCGTGGTTTGCATATCTACTCCTGCTTTCTGTCCCTTTTACCTTCCCTGGGTGTTTCCCCCAGATAAATCTGTACTTCTAATTCTGTCTTAGCATCTGCTTCCTAGAGAACTCAGACACATCCATATCTTTACACATGGTTGTGAGTGAGTGTGTGTGTGTGTGTGTGTGTGTGTATTGAGGCTATGCAAAAACACAAAGCAGGAGAAGGACATTAAAGAATGTGAGGTCAGGAATGTAATTATGAGTAAGGTGGACAGCAAAAGCCACTTTAAGGTACCTTTGGGTATGTCAACAAAGACCTGAGGAGGGCGGTAATGAGCACACTGGGCAGTTGTCTGGAGGAAGAACTTTTCCAGGCAGAGCGAGAAAAAGAGCACAGGCCCTGCGACAGAGGCATGTGGGCTAGGAGGCCAGCATGGCTGGTGTGAAATGAGCAAGAGAAGGTGACATAGGAGAAGGTCAGAGAGATAAAGAGGTGGGTGGGCATGATGCATGCCCTGTGCCGCGCCTTGTAGGCCATTGTAAGGGCTGGGAATCAGTTGGAGGGATTTAAATAGAGGAGGGATTAATGTATCACTCTGGCTCTTCTGTTGAAAATGGTAGGACGAGAAAGGAAGCAGGGACACCAGGTAGGACCCCAGTTCTCAAACTGGGCATTCAAGTGCCTGGCCAGACCTCAGCAAACTCACAGAGGTGTCTTGGGATATTTTTTAAGTTTTTGATTTTTAAATTCTAATATTTAAAAACCATAGTGACATCTGTCAGGCACCACATGAAATATTAGCTTGAAGCAGTTTACAGTTCACCATGACAGTGCTACATCATATTGTGATGATGTCATATCTCTGTGAAACCTTTGCTGTGATAAAATGCAAGTACCAGACAAAAATCAGTGTGCAACAGGAAACAAGGAAGGTGGTGGCCAGTCTGTTTACACAGTTTGAGGAGTTATTTGATTAAAACCCAGTAAGTTTTTTTTAAGTTGTTAACGCATGAATAGCCATTAAGCTGCATGGACCATACTACTTACAGGGAAATGTGAGATATTTCTTTTGGCCTATGGAAGCCATGAAAAAAATTACTGAGACCCTAAATCTGCTATGAACTGAGAAATCTTGGAAACTTGTGAGTTAGGCAGTTATGCAGTCATTCACATTTGGATTAGGCTGAGAGGGATGGAGGTGCTGAGAAATGGATGGGCTTCGCATAAATCTTAAAGGTATAGCCAACAGGACTACCGAGAGTATGAGAGAGAGAAGCCAAAAAGGGCTTCAAGGTTCAGCCTGAGTTGTCCCTCCCAAGTGAAGGGGGCAGACTGGGATCAGTCTGGGTCATAACCAGCTTGAGATGCTGTAATAGAGAAACAAGTGGAGATGCTGAGTAGGTAATTAACTATCCAAGTCTGCAGTTCAGAGGAGAGGTAGGAGCTGCAGAAGTAAATGTGCAAGTCATCAGTTTAGGAGGCTGGAGATCACCAAACTAACATAAACTGAAAGAACTCAAAGTACTCAGCTGCGGAGCACTGCAACACACAATATTTTGAGGCTCATCTTTGCATCTTTAATTCCTATCAGGGTACGTGGTAGGGAATCAATGAATTTCTCAATACCTATTTTTTACAAGAGTAAAACATGTACTCCCACAAAACTTTAGCAGATGCAAGAAGGAAGGCACTGAAAGGTACATCTTCCTCCTTCCTGTTTCCCAGTTCCTCTGGTGGCACCCGTGTTATCAGAATACACCTATGTATCCTCCAAGAGGTAACACATGTAAATTCAAGCATATACATATGGGCATATGTCATAGGAAATCTTTTTACTTTTACACAAATGTGGTATCCAGCACACACTGTTCTATATCCTACTTGATTTCACCTAACCATGTATTTTAGAAATCATTTCAGTGCATATGGAGTGGTCCTATTCATTTATTACAGCTGAAGAATATTCCAGTGTGCACATACCCGCATTTATTTCATCAGTGTCCTACTGATGAACACTGAGGTTATTTGCAGTTAGCTTGTTTTGGTTGCAAACAGTGCTGCAATGTGGATTCTGTTTCATATGTCTCTGAGCATATATATGAGCACATGTATTCAAAACAAGTTGCTTGAAGTACAGTTTCTCAGTGAAAGGGTGTCTGAGTTAAATAAACATCATTACATGTTCTATGGTGTCCTCCACAGAAGATGAAACAATTTACACTTCCTGCAAGTGCTTGTTTCCCTGCAGCACAGTTAACAAAGTATGTTAAATTTTTTATTGTTGCCAATCTGTTTTTAATGGAAAATGGATGTCTCACTGGATTAATTTAACCTCTCCTGTTATAAAAAAAAAAAGCCATCTTTTCATATATGTAAACTTTCCTAGGGATATGTGGATCACTTCTAAACAGTTTTAAGTAACCAAACTCAGCATGCTGGAGACAGAATACCAAATATTATGGGGTGTGCTGAAGCATTGAGGATGAGATGATAGAACTCTGAAATCAACATATTCTAATGGAATTCTTCTTGAAAGTAAAATAAGCCATGTCTGGCTCCTCTTGTATATGAATTATTCTTGTACATGAATTATTTCATTATCCTATTAGTTACCCTAGCCACCTGCTTCTTGGGCGACTGAATTTGAATTCACTATCTTGGGTTTGTTGTGTATGTGTGTGTTGTGGCCAGAATTCATCATTGAATATGAAGACACAATGCATGAGGCAGGGCTGTGGCACCACCAAACTGAAGTTTCTGGAACACAGACCACCGCCCAGCTGAAGCTGTCGCCTTACGTGAACTATTCCTTCAGAGTGATGGCAGTCAACAGCCTGGGGAGGAGTAGGCCCAGCAAGGCCTCTGAACAGTATTTGACTAAAGCCGCAGGTAAAGTGGGTCTTCTGTGATATGAAATAAAATACAATAGTGTTCCATTGTTTGAAAAAGACCAAAACTTATATATATGTGTCTGTTTAACTTCTAGAACCGGATAAAAATCCTACAGCTGTGGAAGGACTAGGATCAGAGCCTGATAATTTGGTGATTACGTGGAAGGTGAGCTATGTATGAAGGCTTCAACTTTTCTCCATATATTTTAGAGGGGGAAAAAGTCTTTTTAAAATAATATTTATATTAAAGTCCCATTTTACCAGTTTTGGGGGAAAAACATATATTTTTTAATAAATATATTTATGGGGAGAAATATGTATTTTATATGTATTATTATGTAAGATGTGGTATTATATAGTAGTTAAAAGTGTGGTTGGTCCTTCGAGTGAAAACAAATGGGTGCAATTCCCAACTTTGCCATTTACTAACTGGGTAACTTTAAGCCAGTTGTTTTATATCTCCATTATGTAACTGTATGATAGGAATAATAATAGCATCATTCATAAGATTAAGGCTTTAATACACATAAGGCATCCAGCACAGTGCCTAGTACTTATATGTGCTCAATAATTGCTAGCTAGCATTATCATCATCATAGAGAACCATTTAGAAGACATGTGCCAAGTTATTCCCAGGAGTCAGCTTCTTTTTTGGCTTACCTGTATTTTTCTGGAGTTGGAAGATTAACATATATTTACTTATGTAATTTAAAAGCTTCTTTTAGATGGATTCATACATGTATATTTATATGCATACATATTTATACCTACTCATGTACATACATACATGTACCAACAGGATAGAATGACAACCAGCCTTTTTTTTTTGGTAAAGAAAGAAGCAGTTCACAAGTTTCAGTGTCTAAGTAAAATAGATCGACAGATCTATATAATCAGATCAACAGGAATATGTAAAGGAAACTAGGTAACTGAAATGTTTCAATTCACCAGCCCTTGACTGTGGAGCCAGAGTTTGCAAGGCTTATGTGGTATTTATTTCAAGATAGAAATGAATAACCTTTGCAGTGTTGATTGTAAACAAACTTTGAATCTCATCACAAATGAACAAAAGATAAAAGGTCCCTGGAGGAAATTGTGAATAGCTTATATTTTAGTGTTTCAATGCTCACTTTCTCTAAGTCTGGGAATTAAATTTTGCTATTCCAGTAAAAGGTTGTGCAGTGTATCTGTTTATAAGCTCAAATTATTTGGCTTTTCTCATAGCCCTTGAATGGTTTCGAGTCGAATGGGCCAGGCCTTCAGTACAAAGTCAGCTGGCGCCAGCAAGATGGCGATGATGAATGGACCTCAGTGGTTGTGGCAAATGTATCCAAATACATTGTCTCGGGCACGCCGACCTTTGCTCCATACCTGGTGAAAGTTCAGGCCCTCAATGACGTGGGCTTTGCTCCAGAGCCAGCTGCAGTCATGGGCCATTCTGGAGAAGACCGTAAGTGTCTGCAGCTATTTCTTTTACACTTTTCCCTTGCAAAAAGGACTTGCCAAGGTGTAAATCAAAGCCATTTCCAAAGGTGCTTAGATTGGGAGGAAGGGAGGCAGTAATTATTTTGCTCAACATTTCTTAATTTAAACTGCCTGCTCTGTAAAAAGTAGGCAGAATATTAAAGGTTATTACTTTTTAAAAAGATATGTTATAGTCTCACAAAGTCAAATAAACAGAATCGGCTCTCGATCCTTGATAATCCATAGCATGGGACTGGGTCATGCTTCAAGCTAAAATTATCAGCGACAGTTTTGCATGAAGTTCAAAATAACATTGATACTTTACCCCCTTCCCTGTCATTCTGCAGTCCCAATGGTGGCTCCCGGGAACGTGCTTGTGAATGTGGTGAACAGTACCTTAGCCGAGGTGCGCTGGGAGCCAGTACCTCCGAAAAGTATCCGAGGACACCTGCAAGGCTATCGGGCAAGTGAAGGGAGATTCTCACACTCTTTCCTTAGGAAGAGGCCAGCAGCCAACGCCCAATGCACTTCTCTTCTCCAGAGGAGGAGGCCTTGAGAGTTCATCCAGTTTACCACTCAGGCAGGCTGCATCTAAGGAGCCCCAGTTAGAACTGATTCAAAATCGCTCTGCATCCAAAGTGAGAAAAAAAATGTTTTCTCAGTTTTTCCCACAGATGACCAAGCATTCCACCAACTGCACAATTAACATATGCACACACTGGGGAAAACTAATGTTTAAAAAACTAGACTATAGCAAAATGCACCTAGCTTGAAAGTAAGACCGTATGTGGCAAACCCACAGAATTATTCTGCAAATAATGTACTTTTTTTAATAACTCAGATTATATTTCACAACAATATATTCCCAACCAGGTCAGTCTCATGAATATCAATTACCTTTGTTCTTGGGAAGCACAGAAAGACTGATTCATGGAGATTTTTGATCCATCAGTGGTCAAGGAACTTTTTTGCACCTACTTTGATTTGGCAACCCTGACCCCTAGAGATCACTTTTTGTAATGCATCACGTTCAATTCTGGATTGTTTTTCTCTGATATTGCCCAACTATATTTCTATGTTGACTTTTCTTAAAATTGCCTTTAAACTCCTAAGAAGGATTGTAGGGGACTTAATAAACAAGAATTCTGGATTTTTAAACTAAAGTTAATCAATAATTTGCTTATTGATTGCTACAAAACCTATTGGCTTACAATTTAATACAGACAAAACTCAGTGTTTTTCATTAAATGATGCAGTTTGGCTTAGTGAGAAAGCCTAGACTGAAAGTGGAGCATCCATGGTGGCTCTTGATTGCCCTGTCACTTTGGGCAAGTCACTGGGCAGACCAGGGACTCACCTGTAGGAGGAATAATAATAAAAACTCACTGTGCTTTTTAGGATTAAGCTAAATGGTATATTGTACCTGAAGTTGTGTTAACTCTGGAAAAAATATGTAAATGTTGGACAATAATTTTGACTTTTTGAATATTTTATACAAATAAGGCACTTACTCATTCTATTGCCTTCCATTCCCTTATGTTAAGAGAATATCATATAGGTATGATGCTGTTTCATTTATTTCATGTGTATTCCTCCAAAATAGTATAGCCCAGCTTCATCATATATTCTTAATTTAATTTCCCTCATTGTCTGTGGGCTTCTATTCTCTTGCCTCAGAATCAATATCCATTTTGCCAACAATCTTCTAAAATGTGCCAAGGGAATTTTCTGGAAAAAAAAAACATAAAACTTTAATTTTGTGAGCATGAGGAATCTTGTTTGCTCCCTTCTGTGTTCCTGACTTTTGTTCTTGCTGTTTCAGATTTACTACTGGAAGGCACAGAGTTCGTCAAAAAGAAACAGGCGCCACATTGAGAAAAAGATTCTCACTTTCCAGGGCAGCAAGACTCATGGCATGTTGCCGGGGCTGGAGCCCTTCAGCCACTACACAGTGAACGTGCGAGTGGTCAATGGGAAAGGCGAGGGTCCAGCCAGCCCCGACAGAGTCTTTAATACTCCCGAAGGAGGTATGGGGTGGACGCGTCTCTGAGATCCTAGGAACACATGGCACATCTGGAGAGGCTTTGCATGACAGAAGGACCCCCAGATAAAGTACATTCTGGAAGCCAAATGCAATTTCCCCATAGATGAACACAGCTGGCAAAATGCCAGCTCATATGTGGCTTTGAGGATATGTGGAAGCCTTCAGAACCCAAATGCTGCCCTAAAACCCCCATCTCAACTTAAAATTTTTCTCCACACCTAGTTACACTTCAGAAACCTTGCCCATTTGATGTTTATTTGAGTCATTAACTTTCTGATATAAGGCAAGTTATAAAATTTCTCTAAGCTTCAGTTACTTCATCTGAGAAGTATGAGCACTGATGTGATAACCTAAAAAAACACCTGGCAAGGAAAATAATTCTGTATATCCTAGTGCACCTTCACAGTTTATGCCAAAATTGAGCTGAGTTAGGAGGTTGCAAATCTTGCAAAGTGGGTTGGGAAGAGAAGGGGAAAGTCATTTCAAGGATGTACCACTGGCACAGGGATGTGGAAGCCTACTGGATGGAGAAGAAAGGGCTTCTGGAGAACAAAACATAGGGATTTGAAAAGGCACCAAAATGGGCTTTATGATTTTTAATTTTGCCTCAAGCCAATATTAAAAATGAGCCAGACAACTTCTGTGGATTCCTTAGGTCTTTTAGATCAAACACTTCACAGGTAAACAGTGCCCTGGCTCCTGTTGGAAGAGCTCATGTTGGCTGCTGCCCAACAGCCCCTGAGGGCCATCCTGTGTCCCAGCTCCCATTTCATTATACTTGCTTGTCCTCAGTCTCATTGCACCTTAGAGGTCAATGGCACCTGTCACTCAAGGCTTGCACTAGTGAGACCCTGAACCAGTCCTGTAGATGGTTCTGGGGAAGGTGTCACACAAGATATGACCAGGGGATTAAAGCAGAAAAAAAGAATAGTCGTAAGTCCAAAGACACAAAGGGATGAAACAGCAAAGCCCCCTCAGGGAGCTGCAGGTCTCAGAGCCAGGAATGGTGAGAAGAGAGGAAGGTCAGCTAGGGGGACCCGCAGCCTGCACGGTCTTAAGTGCTGTGGATATCAACCTGTAAGCCAGAGGCTCTTAACCTGGGGACTGTACTCTCTCAGAGGGGTCAGTGAATGAGTTTAAGTTGCTCAATGAACCCCCCTGATATTGTGTGTAAAATGTGTCTATTTTCCTGGGAGAGCTTATGGCTGTCATCAGATTCTCAAAGGGGTGGCTTGGGGAAGCCTAGAACCATGTACCAGGACTGGCCTAGGCCCAGGCAAAGACCATTCAGGGCCTGAAGTAGGGGTGGGGCAGAGAGCAGAGGAGGGACTGGATATGGCTGAGATGAATGTGGGGCAACTGACAGGATTTAGTGTCCCAGGAGATGGTGGAAATGAGGCAGAGGGAGAAATTCATTTTGGCTCCCTGGCATCTGGCTAGAGGGACAGGAGGGACAGTAGTGCCATGAATGTGCCTAGGGAGTATGGGAGGTTGGGGAGAGGAGGGAACCACTGTGAGGAGAGCTGCCACCATCCATCGTTCTCATGAGCAAGTGAATAAAGGAAGACAAGGCATGCTTCCTCTGGCCATTTGCCATCTTCTGCCACCGAGAACCTGATGCCCCGCAGGCCTGCCGCAGAGCCAGGGGTTTGCTAGCAGCGGGATTCTGTCCATCACCTTGAGATTCTGGGCGTCTGTCAGCATTCTGGATGAAGCCACTCTGCGCCTGGCAGACTGGCTCATGCCCACAGCCAGCAGGCCAGGTGTTCTGACTGGGGAGACACATGGTTTGTTGGGGAAAACAATCTTTAATAACCTGAGGGGGCACAGCTGCTTCTTCTGGAAGGTCTGGTTAGAATAGTTTCACTCAGTCACTAGTTCACTCTTGTGAAGACACCGTTCATAAATCAAGTGAGTACTTTCTTGGCCTTTTTCTTTTTAAACGTTGGCTCGGGTCCGTATAAAGGCAAAGTCTTTATATATTTTTGAGGGGATGGTCTTAATGAATCTAAGTGGAAATGGAGAGAAAAAAAGAAGGGCACTTGCTAATCAGGTTCCCGTCACAGGTTTCTGTTCATGTATTTTCTGTTGAATCAGGGACAAGAATGAATTACAGAGAACAAAAACCTTGCTGAATTCTGTGAACATGGTGAAATATGTCATTTCATACATTTCAAAATATTCAAGATTCTTTTCATTGACTCTGTTCTTATTAAAAGTCCCCAGTGCTCCATCCTCTTTGAAGATTATTAATCCGACACTGGACTCGCTCACTTTGGAATGGGATCCACCAAGCCACCCAAACGGCATTTTGACGGAGTACACCTTAAAATATCAGCCAAGTGAGTTATTGGGAGAAGGAAAGGGGAAATACGGTTTTAAAAGGAAAAAAATGGTAACTATTATCTTAGAATACATACTAGTCATTTGTTTGTAGCAGCAGGAAGTGTTGTATCAGAAGGAACTACAAATCTGTCTTTTTAAAGACATATATGCTATAGAAAGTTAGGTAATCTGCAAAACATTACAGATCTGTGAACATGGGGCTTAGGGTTCTATCAGTGATCAGATAGGCATTATCTGCAAGTAGATAATGGTAAGAGAGTTCCTTTGGCACAAAGCCTCTGAAAAAGAGTTCTGGGATTATGCCTCCGCCTGCAACAACAGAGACAAAAATGCTGTTGTGATACAACTATAAAATTCCCCTAGTCTACAGGCCAATTGAGGATATCCTTCCCCTTGTTATGCCATATTATAGGAGCTGTAAAAGGTTATCACTTATGTTGGGCCAGAGTGAGTGCGGATTACAAAAGTCAGTGTATTTCTAAGTCTAGGTCTTTGGTTGACATATTGATTTATCATAGCATTCTTCTAGCAGCTAATGGGGAATGAACTTCTTTATTTCTTGTTGACAGTTAACAACACACATGAATTAGGCCCTCTGGTAGATTTGAAAATTCCTGCCAACAAGACAAGGTGGACTCTAAAAAATTTAAACTTCAGCACCCGGTATAAGTTTTATTTCTATGCACAAACAGCAGCAGGACCAGGAAGCCAAATAACAGAGGAAGCAGTAACCACTGTGGATGAAGGTAAGACGGGTATGTAGAAAATCCAGCTAAGCATCGTAAGACAAAAATCTGCAACCAAAGTTTATGCTTCTCTTCCCCTCTTAACAATGAGTATTCATTCATCTTACCCAACTAATACAAACATTTGTAAAATCCATTTTGATATGTATATATAATCAATTATTTTAATTCACATTAGAATAGCTATTTGATATTTGTTTTCAAAATCCATATGAAATTGTAAACTTATAATAAAATATTGAGGTGAGGGTAGGAAAGTATAACATTCTGCCACACTTGAAGTCAAAGTTCAAGGCAATGGCTTTTCCTGTCTATAACTTTCATGTATATACACAGACACAGACACATACATTTAATACACATATATGTGCCTGCACTGGCATACACATCTATCTGCAAATAAATAAATGTAATTCTAGTTCTGGTTTTGATGCACTGGAAAATAATTTGCTAGTCCACACACGAATTTAGGTTTTCTAGCAAGGAATACAGAACAGTTATTAAATAGTGCCTTTATTTTGTGTTTGAGCATGGGACTTTGTATTTTGGTATGCCATCTGGTACAGAGAAAGCAAAATAGCCCTATTTAAGTATCTAGAAAAGGAATTAACACTTCTTTTCATATCTTTAAAACTCACTTTGAAAAAAGTTAGATTCAATGAAAATGATCAAAAATATTATAAAAGGTTTTCTGGTTTTGCATGTCTCTAAACTGTATAATTGCTTAAGGATTATTTCATTATCTTGCATAGCATAAGAAATTGACATTTCCGCCTAAAAATTGGTTTAAAATGCCCTAAGCCTTCATATAAAATAGGCAACTGTGAATAATGCACCTTAAGTAATGTGTGCATTTGATTACTGGGTAAGTTTGGGGACACCAACTTATCTTTGTCCCCTGTACCTAATGTGGTACTCTTCATTCTCCTTGCATGCTTTGGCATTTTAATAAGTGTTTTTGTATCGCTTTACATGCTCATGGGTGTGTTACATCTAACTATATAGTGTCCTATTTCTGTTTCCCTTCATTAAAGCTGGTATTCTTCCACCTGATGTAGGTGCAGGCAAAGGTAAAATAATTCATCTGCATGACTTTATACATGTGTGAAATTTGCAATGTTAAACATGGGGAAGTGCAGCATGGGTTAAAGAGAAAATAAAATAAGCTTTAAAGCACCAAAATAAAGAGAAGATCTTGGAAGATCTTGGCTTTAAAATTAATGTCTAGTCTTTCATATAAGTAGAAAGCCACACATTGATTTCTCCTAAAACTTTTTCTCAAGACATCCCTGGCACAAATCCTAATCATAGCTTTTAATGACATGACTGTCACTCGGTCCCACAGGACCACAACCGTGGATTTGTCACAGATCCTCTCTATGGCCATGCCACATAGTAAAGGTTCGGAAACGTTAGTCCTGTGATGAAAATAGCCTGTGAGAAATCGGATCAGCCAAGCTTTCCACTCTAATCCAATCAGCTGTTCTCCTCAAGACGCAGTGCACACCCTGCTGGCATTACCCTACACTCTCCGCTTGGAACTTCAGCTCAGCAGTACCCTCTAATTGGCCTGAGAGTCAGTCTCCCCACCAAAATCCCCTCCGAGCAAGTCTTCCAGTCAGCCTGCATGCTCTACTCAGTCGTGTTACTCCATCCTGTCCTCACCAAACCGCTCAAGTCCCCCCAACCCAGGTAATAGCCAACGATTGCTGTGGATTACTTTTGTTTTCCTCCATTTCTCACAGCTCTCCGGGTGAGATAGATTGGTGGGGGCCGTGGTGCTTGAGTAAGTTGTCACATGTCTCCCACCTGAGGCGATCCCAAAGACAGCCACCCCCATCTTTGACCCGCAGCTGCGGGTCGATCTGTTGGCTTGTTAGACGGCAGCAGGACCGCTGCCAGAGGACCCCCTGTTCTCCCGTGGGGTGCCCCCTGTCAGGGCTTCTCTTGGACTTCAGCAGACTAATTGAGCATACATAAGAAATGAAGTCAAGGAAAACCAAGAGAAATAAGTGCTTTGCCGTAAAGTATTCAAAATTTGTGAGCTTAGGCCTGATACATATCTTCTGTCTTCTTAGAACTCTGCTTATATTCAGAGTCATGGCAAATTATAAAATGTAGATCAGATAGATCTTGGAGGGATTGAATAAGAACTGTAGCCATTTTCAGTAATCTTAATGACACGATATATGTGTGTTTTAGACTCAAAAGAACAAAGTTATTAAAATTCAAAGTTTCCACAATCTTGTAGACAGATGGAAACCTTTCTTGTATATATCCAGGTCTTTACTGGGATAATTAGATGTCAGTTAAAAACCTCATTTGCTTTATAATAATTTGCTGCTATGTTCCCCTGGTAACCTTGGATTGAAGCATTCCAGAGAGGGCCTGGCCTCTTTCCCTCGGCAGCGGACACATCCCTGCAGCTCTGCCTAGAGTCATTGCGGAGTAATTGTGTGGCAGCTGGGCTCCTGTGGAGAGCATCTGAGTTTTCCATTGATTTGTCTTGTTAGAAGAGGACATACATTCCACGGGAAAAAACATCACCAGCTGATATTAAAGAATTAAAACTAACTAAAAGAAATCCTCCCATTAGGTTTTACGCTACATTTACTGCTACCAACTTGAATTGTGAATTACTTATGATTATAGAGACAAGGAAAAAATGGAGTGTCGGAAAATTCATGAAGCCCCTAATGTTGAAATCAGATGGATTTCAGATAAGAAGAGAAATAGTGCTTAAATTGTTTTGAAGCTAAATCAAACCTTATTTCCTATATTGTTTCTTCTAATAGTGTACAGTAATTAACACTGCTTGCAAAAAATGATGACATTTTAATAACGATAAGACTTTAAATTGCTCACGAATAATTGGTTATCTTGGGTTTCCCTTCCTTAAAAATATTTCTTTTTCAACCTAAGAATGAATTTATCTTCTCTGTTTTCCTTCTCCATGCAGTTTAGCTACATGTGGGAGGAGAGAAAAATAAAAGTTCTCCATGGTCCTTCTAAATTGTAATATTTTTATCTATCTTTTATACTTTAATTTAAAATGGCAGGAAAAAGAATAAATAAGAGCTGAATCCCTGAGAGAAAATGTGTTATGATATCCTCAGCTATAGAAGCATCAGCCTCTAGAGATTTTAATTCACTTCTGATCAAAGAGGGGAAAAGAGGTGCAGCTGAGTTTACATTTTTTAATTTTTTTTACAGATTTTAAGAGATGTTAAGCAAAGCCAAGCTTACAAATATATAATTACAAAAGATTATTTAAGCCCCAGAGCAGAAGCCAGGATGATTCATTCAGCTGCATTATGCCATATTAATGCTGTCCTTGCCTTAATTTGAGCATGGAGATACCCTGGAGACCTTCAGGCATCACTTACCATGATCTGTGTACTTGTTTGGTTGAAGCCCTCAATATCTGTGTAAGAATTATAGTCGTTTGGTTGTATTTGTTCAATTTCTGTGTCCCTTTAAATAGTTTTGGGGTCCAGGATTCTAGGAAATAGACCTGTGAAGGCATCTATAGAAATAGAGAATGGATTTGTGTTCATGGTCCTAGAGCTGCTGATGGATGGACATTCCTTCATCCACAGCATTTTACTCCTTTACCCTTTGGATCAGTCACCAAAAGACTTTTGTGTTTGACTAGTTGGAGTACAAGAATAAGGAGCAGCTAACTGGCAAGTCGGTAACTGAACCTGGATCTTGACCTAATTAGCAGCTGACTGTGGTCAGCCAGTTAGGACTGAGCAGAAGAGGTGAGAAGCTGGTGATGAATCCTCCCTATGGTCGGACCCTTACTTACAATTACACCAGAGTTGGTCCCACTGCTACCAGTTAGGTCAAGAAACAAGGAAAAGCTAAAGAACCAGTAAATAAAAGCCAGGTTTAAAGTTCACAGTTTTATTTGGCCTAAGACTCCAGTTGACCCTTGAACAACACAGGGGTTAGAGGCACTGACTCCCCACACAGGTGAAATCCATGTATAACTTTGACTCCCCCACAACTTAACTACTAATAGCCTACTGTTGATCAGAAACCTTACCAATGACATAAATGGTTGATTAACACATTTTGTAGGTTATGTATGTAAGCTAGAGAAAAGAAAATGTTTTTTCAAATTGTTGCAAATCTCAAAAAAAATTTCCAACGTATTTATTGAAAAAACTCCATATGTAAGTGGACCAATGCAGTTCAAACTCATGTTGTTCAGGGCCAGCTGGCATATAGAAGGTCCCATCAGTTCAACATTTCATGTCTATCTGGCAAGTTAAATGTGCCAGGCTTTTTTAAGGCACTGTGTATCAAGATAGTAAGACAGACCCTGCCTTTGATATGCTTAAAATATGGCAGGTAAGACCAACACATAAAAAAGATTGAAAATAGATGCTAACCTTGTAATTTGAATAAAATGTTATCTGAGCATAGAGGAGTGAGCCTGTTTTTGCCAAACAGGTTCAGGAAAAGCTTCCCAAAGAAAGTAGTATTAAACTGGGCCTTGAAAGGGAAGCAGAATTTTGGCCAATGAGTCAGGGCTTGGGGTGTGTAAGTTCTTGGTAGGGGAATAAGCCAAGGCATAGGGTTGAAAACCCTGGACGTTAGGGTTTTACCCAGAGATGTAGCTCAAGAGGTAGGTGAGGCCCCGTGTGAATGACCCTTAGCAGCAGGGAATGCCTCGCTAAGGAATCTGTGTTCACCTGTGGGCAGAGGCAAGTCCTCCACGACCTAAACAGATAAGTGACAGGGCCAGATATGTAGCTTAGGAGGCTAGAAATAGGTAACTGCATTAGTGGGAGGCTTACAGTAGGGAGAGAGAAGAGAAGCAGACTGCGGAAAAAGCCCACATAAGAAATGACACTAGCTGCCCCACTGTCATGTCATAGGTGACACTTGAGTATTTGTTCAATAAGGAAGTGGGTGAGTGCTGAGTAAAAACGAGGAGAGATCGAGTTCTCAATGTGAAAAGTGGCCAAATAGCATCACTTTAGGAAATCACCCTTTCTCTGGGTGTCTTTAAATTTGAGCTAAATGCTCTTCTCTTTTAAGTACTTCATGATGATCTGCCTTGAACATCTTCATCATTACACCAAGACTAAATTCCTCAGTTCCATGATTCCAAAAATGTTTTAAGAAAATCAATGTTTCATCTGGGTTCTTTGCCAGGAATGTTTTATCCCCATGTTCCTATTTATCATCTCTGTTGATTTGATCATATTCCTATCATTATCTATTCGTTTAAGAAAATCTCAAGACAATTGACATCAGTTAGGTGCACAGAAGGGCCCTACATAATTCAGTAATCAGTTTTGCTCTCAGCTATTTCCCACCCTGAGCGCACAGAGGCACACAACATACATGTGATGACGAACTGTATCTCAGAGGCCAAATGCATTATTTAATTACTGTAATATACAGATCTTCCTCAATTTATCATGAGGTCACATCTCCATAAAGTCATCATAAATTGAAAATATGTCAAAAATGCATTTAATACACCTAGCCTACCAAACATCACAGCTTGGCCTCACCTACCTTAAATGTGCTCAGAAGACTTCCACTAGCCAGAAGGTGGGCAAAATTATCAAACACAAAGCCTATTTTATAATAAAGTGTCAATATCTCATATGATTTATTGAATACTATGCTGAAAGTGAACAGCAGCATGGCTGTGCGGGTACAAAATAGTTGTAAGTGTATCGGTTGTTAACCCCCAGAAGCAAGTAGCTGACTGGGAGCTGTGCTCACTGTCCACCTGGCATCATGAAAGAGGACAGTCTGCATATGACCAACCCAGGAAAGGGCCCAAATACACAGTTCCAAGTATGGCTTCTATTAAATGTGCACCCTTTCACACCATCATAAGGTCAAAAAATCCTAAGTCGAACTATTGTTAAATCAGGGACCATCTGTACTTCTGTTTCCGATCCTAAGAAAGGTCATTTCGTTAAATTTGTTTCAGTAGAGGCCTTTAGCTTCTAAATTATATAACATTATTTGGAATTTAGTTTTAGAGTCTAAGGAAACCCATTGACACTTCTGATTTACTATCATAGGATGCTTTCTC